GGTTCCATGATAACCGCCATATGAACACATCCACAGATATTAAAAAATCTGAAGTGTACCAGTTCATGTTTAATGTGAATTCTGCTGAAACCGGTGCTAGGAGGCGTGGACGGTAGCTTGCAGTTACCACTACCGTCCATGAACAGGTTTAATCAAACTGAGCCTGCAACATTTTCATGTTTTCCGTGTTGGACTTCTGTTAAGGATTCTTTTTTCTCTATTTTATTACTAATAGGCATTCTTATAATGTGTAATGAAATCAAGCAATAATCTTTCTTCTCTCAATACAATTCGATAAAAGTTACTGTTGTTGTCGTGAAAACAGTCCTTACTTAGGACATTACTTATTCTGCAAAAAGTCTCAATCTGAAACTTAAAGTAAGAAAAATAGGAAACTATAACTTTTCTGCTGAAGAATAAAAGTAAAACAACCTTTCAAGAATGTATTAAATAGAAAGGTACGAGTTATTTCATAAAAATAATGGATACACGAACTTTGTTTGAAATTTGGCAAGCATCTAAACTGTAACCGAAATCTTGGTATAAACTGTAACATAATTGGATCAAAGTCGCTAGGTCTATGTTGTAACCTTTCAAAATTAACCTCGCTCTATACTGTAACATTGTTTATTTTTTCAAAGCATTTTACCAACAGGAAAATAGGTTCAACTGGTTATTTTCTTTTAAAAACGTTTCTAAACATAAAGGACTAACGTTTTGTAGATTTACTTTATCTAGGCATGCTTAAATAATGTCGGAATGGGAGAAAAATGCGATGGTCTCTCGATTCAAATTTTTTGACCGTCAAATCTGCCTATTTATGAGACAATATAGAGATAAATCTGCGGTGCAGGGTCTGAAGAAATATATGACTAGATACCGGATTCTGTTCCTTACAAGCAAAGCACAAACACATCTTTTAGAAACTAAACTACTAGTAGTATGGACCTGAATAAAAATCACCTACCTCTCTTCCCATAAATAATCCTCCATCTTGAAAATTCTATACTGTAACCGAAAAACGCGATACTGTAACACGTTCCCTACGGTGTACATGTACAGTCAAACTTGTGAACGAAGGCCATACAAGCGAGAGAGACAAAATACTGTCTTTATATATAGGTGGTATTTATCTGGTGGTTACTTTATTCTATTTTATCAGAAAAGGGTTACCAAAAAGTGACCTTTATTTAAAGGGTTATCTCTATTCACAGACAAACTTTGATACAGATTTGACTGTGCTATGAGTAAAATTGACCTTCTGTACACAAGTCCACCTTGTCCATAAATGCATAAACCAGTTTGTTTAAAAAGTGAAATTGGTTATTTTTAAAAAGTGGTCTCTTAAACAGGTATTATTATTTTTTTGCAGAAGTGGTCTTTAAACAAAGGTCTTTACTTACTTATACTATCTGTAAAACAACTTTGAAAGGTTCTGACAGTTAGATAACAAAATTTCAACCTTGGTTGTAACTATTTGTGATTGTTCAATACATGCCTGTGTTATGAAACTACAAAAAAGTAGACAAAAAATCCATTTTTACCACACTTTGAGGTAATTCACAAAAGAACACAATTTCAACAAATTTCATTCATTTCAATGCATTATAATAAGAACTAGAACTGTGTCCAAAGGACACGGATGCCCCCACTGACAACATATACATGGTATATAGTGAAAAAATCAACAAAGGCCATAATTCTGTTAAATTTGGTCGCAGCAAAGATTCCTTCCTTTACTACCATCTACACATTAAGGTTATTCATCCCTGGAAGTTTAAGCAAAATCTGCCATCCGGTTTAAGAGGAGTTGCGTTCACAAAATTTCCACATAGTATATAGTGAAAAAATCAACAAAGGGCCATAATTCTGTTAAATTTGGTCGCAGCGCAAATTCGTTCCTTTACTACCATCTACACATTAAGGTTGTTCATCCCTGGAAGTTTAAGCAAAATCTGCCATCCGGTTTAAGAGGAGTTGCGTTCACAAAATTTCTACATAGTATATAGTGAAAAAATCAACAAAGGGCCATAATTCTGTTAAATTTGGTCGCATCAAAGATTCCTTCCTTTACTACCATCTACACATTAAGGTTGTTCATCCCTGGAAGTTTAAGCAAAATCTGCCATCCGGTTTAAGAGGAGTTGCGTTCACAAAATTTCCACATAGTATATAGTGAAAAAATCAACAAAGGGCCATAATTCTGTTAAATTTGGTCGCAGCAAAGATTCCTTCCTTTACTACCATCTACACATTAAGGTTGTTCATCCCTGGAAAATTAAGCAAAATCTGCCATCCGGTATAAGAGGAGTTGCGTTCACAAAATTTCTACATAGTATATAGTGAAAAAATCAACAAAGGGCCATAATTCTGTTAAATTTTGTCGCAGCGCAAATTCCTTCCTTTACTACCATCTACACATTAAGGTTGTTCATCCCTGTACGTTTAAGCAAAATCTGCCATCCGGTTTAAGAGGAGTTGCGTTCACAAAATTTCTACATAGTATATAGTGAAAAAATCAACAAAGGGCCATAATTCTGTTAAATTTGGTCGCAGCGCAAATTCGTTCCTTTACTACCATCTACACATTAAGGTTGTTCATCCCTGGAAGTTTAAGGAAAATCTGCCATCCGGTTTAAGAGGAGTTGCGTTCACAAAATTTCTACAAAGTATACAGTGAAAAAATCAACAAAGGGCCATAATTCTGTTAAATTTTGTCGCAGCAAAAATTCCTTCCTTAAATACCATCTACACATTCAGGTTGTTCATCCCTGTAAGTTTAAGCAAAATCTGCCATCCGGTTTAAGAGGAGTTGCGTTCACAAGATTTCGGGACGTACGGACGGACGGCCGGACGTATGGACTGACGGACGGACGGACAAGTGCAACGCTATATGCTCCCACTCTGTGGCGGCATAAAAACAAACAAGCGTCTGCGCAGCAAAGATCAACAGTAAGATCTTGTCAAACAAAGGCTCATTTGTTTAAAAGGGAGAAAAGGTTGAACGTAATGCCTAAATCATTCAATGATAAAGGCATTTAAATATTATCTCAACGTTTATCTTAGATACAGAATGAGTCTGTCTGAGTTTTTTTTAAATGGATGTACTGCCTAAATGTCAAAGAAAGAAAATCATACTTTATTTTGTTTTCCGCGATTACCGTATAAAACGATTTAAGAGCACGACCATTAAACCTAGGATTATATGAAACTGTTGTGAGCTATAAATTTTCGAAAATTACTGTTTAAATGTTATTATTCGAAAGCTTTCACAATTTTCCTTCCTTAATCAAATTGGAAAATGAAATTGGAATATTAAACTGGTTTTAGATTTAATTAAAGTCGTTTCTATTTATAACTTGAATTGTTGAAATTGCTTCTGATACATTTATTCTTTTAATTGTTCTCTCGACAATAATATAAAGGAATTTGCAATTGTTTTAATTTGACCAATTCTAACGCAGATTGACGTAACTATTTTGGAACGTAAATATCACGAGACTAAATTGAGTTGAAATGACAGATTTGCTTTAACACAAGTTGATTTAATATGTCCCTCTTCTATACTCGCTTATTTTTTTCAATTCTTTCTAAGGTACTCAATTGAAATTAGAGAAATAAGCTAGAATGGTAGTGTGAAAATTGCTGGTAATACATGTATTAGATTAAAAATATTTAAGTTGCATGTATTTTTTTCTATAAGCGATAGATATAAACCAAAGTCATATTGATACAAAGATTATCTTGCTTAAAGATAATCATTCAAATTTATGATTATTTTTGAAGATTCATCAATGTATTTAGATCTTACTGCACAAAAACTGGCAGATATGTTGGAAATAGAATATAAACGATAATGTCAATGCTGTTCAGTAAGTGATTGAGAAGATGAATATCATTTTATCATTACATGCTGTTGTTATACAGCTTATTCTAAACTTTATCTTAAAATATATTATTTCATTAACCTTAGTATATACAGATTTATAGTACTGCAATTCTGCGAAATATATACTAGTAGCTAAATAATTTATATCGGACCGCAAAATAAATAATTATTCCAGAATCCAAAAAGCATAACGACGAATCTTGCATAGTACAGAAACTTTAAACTTCTTTACATCTATCTTATCTCGCTCTCATGCTTAAAATACACACGCAAATTACGTTTTCGACATTTTCTATGCTTTTCTCAAAACGAGAGAAATCCCCAGGAAACTAAGATGAAAATATATATTAAATTATTTTTGCAAAATCGCATCCATCTAGAAATGACACAGTTCAGATAATTTATATGCTACAAACGGAATTACTGAAATAAAACGGGAACAAAATTCTATATTAACTTAACTGAGTAATGGGTTGGGAGAAAAGAGAAACATGTATGGAAACATATTAAATCAACGGGGACGCTATGATTATTTTTGAAACGTGCGAAAAAGTAATCTCAATAAAAGATTTTTGTGTCATTAAAACAAAATGGTTTTTTTAAAAGTTTATAACAAAAACAACCAAACAAAAAAAACAAGATGATTTCGATATAAGATTAAACATTTTTTTTCTGAGGATCGAACCCCTTTTATGCATGACGTCATTAAATTCTTACATTGATTTATCTATTTCCGTTATGTGTTGCTAAATCTATCTGTATAAATGTATATGGCAATATTTTTTGAAAAACCTTTGAAAAATGGGAGAATTTAAACCCCATCAAGCTTTCCTTCTGTAGGGAAAAAAAGTATGTTTATTTTAAACCCAAGTGATACCCTTTAAAAATTTTATTATTTAAAATTTCCCCTATTATATGGGTTTTTTTTTCAACATGTTTTTTTTACGTCGGGAGCATTGTTTCCCCCTTTTTCACACGTTACAAAAGGGGAATCCAAAAAACAGGGGTTAAAATTTAATTAAAAAAATAAAAATTTAATGGTTTTAAATTTTACAGACGAAAAACGTCATTGAATTGCTAAAGTATCTAATTTTTATCAGACCTTTTTTTCCAAAGGGCTTAACAAACTAGTCTCTTAACTTTGCCCTACAAATCTTGCCAGTAAAAACACCCGGAAGCTCATCAAGAAACAAATAATATGTTGGCAAAACGGTAAAAACGCCTGACTTATCATTATGATAAGCCTCAAGGAAAGCGCGTAGTTGCTGCTCAGTGACATCACTTCCGGGTTTCAAACGTACGCATGCGCAGAGCACTTGATGATATACGTCATCGGGAACCGGAACAACAACTGCTGCTTCTACATCAGCGTGCAATTCGATAACTCTTTCTAGAATGTCCGGAATAACATTCATCCCGCCTGATATGATTGTACTAGACTTTCTACCTTGTATATAGAGGACCCCTTTCTCGGTGAGCTTGCCAAGGTCATTTGTAATGTACCATCCGTCTGCTGTTTTAACTTCTGCAGTTTTTTCTTCATCGTGGAAGTATTCTTTAAATACGGGATCTCCGCGTATATAAACTTCTCCATAGGTATTGGTCGGAAGAATTTTACCATCGTCATCTACCACTTTGAGTTCGATTTCGGGACCTTGAAATATTTTCCCACAACAGTTCTCTTCGAATTGTTCATCTGTCATAAACACGCCTACTGAAGTAATTTGAGTTTCAGTTGAACCATAAGCAACGACAAACATTGGACTTATTTTGCCGATGCATTTTGCAACACTTTTGCTGAGTGGCTGTCCACCAGAAGCAACAGCATAGATTGGCCAATCAAAAACAAGCTCGTCCTTAAAAGTATACAGCATGGAATTACAATATTGATTTAATCCGTTTTTTTTTTTGGTAAAAAGTATTTCTGAATTGAAAATTTAAGAAATTGTAAACAGTTAATGTTTTAGTTTAATTTTTACAACTTATAAATATCATGTGAATACTTAAATACATTAATCTTTAAAATAAAAACAGTTTTTAACAACATGATGTAAATACAAACTGGCCGGCGAATATAATTTTATTGAGTAAGGTAAGATCGATGAAAGTGATAAAAGAATCACAAATGCTTACTTGGCGTCGTATGAATTCATGTATCATTTGGGGAAGAACAGAGACTGAACTGCAATTCTCCCTTTTTGCTATTTCAATAACAAAAGCTGCTCGGTCAGTTGGTGGGGGACTAAATCCTGACATGGTGACGCGCTTTGTTCCGGAAATCAGCGTCAATGGAAAGCCACCAATCCATGCAAATGGTCTGTCGTTAAAGGTAGCTGATTCACCAGCAACCAACGTTTCCATTGCCACTTGTTGACAGATACGAATTGCTTTATGGGTATGCGCAACTAGTTTCGGCACACCTGTGCTGCCGGAAGTTTGAAACAAAAACGCTATATTGTCCTCCATGATTGTAGGAAGCTCTATAACTTCCTGGACATTTTCAATAAAGTCATTTAGATGTAAATTATCTTTCATGTCAGTGAAATCCTCATCCTTATGTGTTATTAAATATCGTAAATATGGCATTTGTTCACTTGTAACATGCCCCTTCTCCGTTTGCAGATTTACTAATTTCTTAACTATATTCCAATTAGCGCCATCTTCACCAGGGTCCATTACCAAAAGACTGCACGTCTGAAGTTTTTCCATCATTGCAACCAGATCGCTTCCATCTGTATAAGTGAATGAGATACTTACAGGTATAGCCCCGGCCATCATAGCACCAATAACCATATAGAGCCATTCAACACAGTTTCTTACATTTATTGCTATAACTTCATCTTTCTTTACTCCAAGAGTGATCAAGGCTGTGGCTGTTTCTCGCGCTTTTTTGTATAGTCTTGTCCACGTGACTGATTCACGAGAAAAGTCGGAAGATACAAAAACAATAGCTTCTCTATCCGGTATGTTAGATGCATAGCATTTCAAACAGTCCAGTATTGTCTTCAGCTCTTTCGCTGTCAGGTTTCTCTCCGTCTTTATGTAGCTTTCTGTAAGTTGTACTTCAACGACATTCATTTTTGGTAAGTTGTGCACTTAGACTTTTGCAAACAACGAAAGTTCGACTTATTAGATTCGATAGACGCACTTTTTGACGTTTTATTTTGTAAATCCACTTAGTATCGTTGTAACTTCTATTTTAAATCTTTTAATATTATCATTGTGTCAACAATAGAATAGTTGTATGTCACGTGTTTTGTAAAGTCAGTTTCATATGACTTTAAGGATTGACTAAAGAAGTAATAAACAACAGTATATTTACCCCGTGTTTATAATAAACTGACCAAAGTCGAGTATTATACATTGCTATAGTGTCAGGTAGTTTGGACTGAAGAGACGTTATAGTATAGATCATGTATGATACACTGGCGAAATCCAAATTTTATACTTGTTACAGTTAATATTGGTTAAAAGTGATATGGATCTCAATCTATGGATGAAAAAATAAACTTCCGCCTTTTGTACATAAAAAGTTAATTATACTTGCCTATTTTATACGTTAATAATTGATTTGATAGGTCTGTCAATAAACATGTATACTTGTTTATTGTTTAATATCGTCCTTATTTACACCAACAACACACGACTTTAATGATTAATGTCTTTATAAAATTACAACTTTCAGAATATTTTCAATTAAGAATGTTTATACTTGATTATAGACACATCATTTTTTTATATGATCAATTAAGTAAATTTTACAAAGTCAGTTAATTGAATTAAAATGTTTACAATTAAAGTTTAAAATATTCACTTTTTGTTTGATCTCATATGTTTATATTCAGCGTTTAGTATATTTGGCTTTATATTTTGTCAGTGTTTTCATTTAAAACAATACGAACATTTGTATCATTATGAGAACAGCAGATTAGCGAGAGATTGCCCTTGTATCAAACCCACGGAAGTGACAGTATATTGTGGTGCGTGGGTCATCGGGTGGGGCTGGGGAGGATTAGATAAAAAAAAGCCAGCATAACAACATTCAATAGTTTATAGTTTGTAAATATAAAGGTCAGATTATCATCCCAGACCTATCATTATCATATCAGTATCAGCCTTTGTTTACTTTGAGCATTTGACCTATAAACCATTGAATGTGTGGTCATGATATCAGCTAAGTAGATGCATATTTATTTATAAACACGTGCTCACTCCCACTAGTTACAATGTAACCTGATAATATTGTATTCTAAATCAATATTTGAAGAGTTTCAATAAGTTAAGGGTAAAATTGAGCGCGAAAATACAGACGACAAAGCTTTATCTGTACACTTACAGGCTTTCGTTTATCACCGCTTGCGATCAAAGTGATGAAGTGACGAATATAATGAAGTTGATACATGTGCTTGTATGCGAAGATGACAACGCATTATCCGAACAGCACAATCTGCATTGTTAGTCATTATAGGGGCCATTATTTTTGATAGAGGGTCATCTTTAATCCAACAATAAGCATTAAGAAATATTTAAGTAATTAAAAATTGCAGATAAAGGCCGATGTAACGAAGGAAAGTAACTCCCATAGAATTACGACCCCCTGATCCGTATTCTATAGACAATTTGACCCCTTTTCTATATGATACTGACCTGTAGTATATGGACCCCAATCTAATCGATCTAAAAAGTTTATTAAATTCTGGGATTTACTGTTGTTGCCGCAACACTAACGTTAGTGGTACATTCTCTTTGTCGTATATTACGAAAGGGGTCCTCTGTCTTTAAAAAATGGCGACAAAAATGACAGGAGTCGTTATTTTAAGTGGGATACAGTTCTTCGCGCGTGTCAAAATACCGTGGCTTGGGGGTCTTAACATTAAGACCTAGGAGTCAATATTCTTTTGAATATATTGACCAAGGATCATAATTCTATGGGGTGGCGGGAATAGGCGTCAATTTACTTCGTTACACCGGCTACGCCTGTTATCATTAGTGTTAACATTATACCGTACACGTAAGACGTTTGACAAGAACTAATCCTAAAAGGTTCCATCGGTTGTTACATCAGTGACCGAAAAAAAGCTGTTGTAGTATTTTTCATAGTTTAGATATCATTTAATCTATTTATTATCAATCTCGCTATCAGAAAAAAGGATAGTTCCAATTTTAATTCAATAATTCAATTAAAATGCTGTAATTGCCAGACAAAGCGCTCCATAGTGACAACATCGGGTCTTTCATTGATACAACTCTGCACGAAAGATTAATTCTTAAGAACAATGAAATGATCTTTGTACCAAACATATCAGATTGTTAGGAATTAATTGACCAATTCATTCCCTGTCTAACTGGCTTGCATTTGGCAGGTTTCTTTATTATTCATTATCATTCTGATCGCGTGCCAGACAAAATTACACGTGATAACAACTGTAAGAATAATATATTCTGTAAATGAGTTATATATATTTCATTCTCAGTTTTTCTTTCCCTCAAATGTTTCCTAATCGTAATCGATATTTCTACCAGACAACGGATGTGGTCATTCTACAACAACCATGTGCATAAACCTCGTTTGTTTTCCAAATGACCACTCAGCTGATATACGACGAACATTAAAATACCGTATACGTACGATGTAAATCTTGATAAAAATAGCAACAACACTGCCGGAACATTCTGGAAAAGAAATGTAAAATAAGCTCATTGAATGATGTAGGAGATGAATACCATTTCACACATATAGAACCTTAAGAAATGAGCCTTTGCACAAAGGATAAAACGCCCTAATTAACTTACGCGTTCAAGTGTGTTAAGCCTGTTTAACATTGATTTTTTTGTTGTTATTCATAGATTTTTATTCAATTATTCCATCTAAAATATCATTGTATAGTGAATAACTAATACTTACCTACATGTATAACATAGATTGAATAAGACTTGTATTTTGTTACATTACAAGCTACTTACAAGAAAAGCATTGATGCAAAGCATCAAAGGGCGTCCAAGCAAGAAATGCAGAAAGTGAAGATGAACTAGTAGACATATGATGACAAGATATTCTTATAAACTTTTCAATGGTTAGTTTGTTTTTACCACAATGAATGGACGAAAGACATTGTTCATTGTGAACTTTGATTGGCATGCTAGAGATTAGAATATTACTTGTAATTTCTTTATGATCGTGATTATTAATAGCAACGGATATACATGTATACAATCATTTATAATCCATATGTGTAACGCATGATCAACACCACACTTGTGGAATTGTCTCTTATTATGTTATCGCTATTAGCGAAGACCCTCGATCTCTTAAGGTATCTGTTCACACTTAGTAAAAATATGACACTGGTTATATTACCATGTTGATCACGTTGAGCATAATTGTTTATTATACAATAATTGTAATATCTATTTTAATATAAAAAATACAGATTTTATGAATATTGTTTTCCTCTCTTTTTGTGTTTTATGTGCTATTCTAATACTGAGTTTTAAGGTTTACTACTCTCTTTTTTCATTAAAATTGTAAAACAAATTTTAAGAATTCAATTGTCATATTGACCGACGATTATAAGTCAAAACTTAACTGGAAAAAGTCAGTAAATTATGCTTAATCTTTCAATATATAATATTGTTTATTCTTAAACCATGTACATTTGTATTTTTCTTTATCATTTTTTAAATTATCAATCAATTGAATAATTCATAAAATCTAATTTGTAACTTTGAATAATTCCTCGGCATCTTTACTAAACACGAATAACAAATTAAAAAAAAATGTTTCAAAGTTGATAGTGTCATATTAATACCATAAAAATGTACCTTTTTCTCAATTATTGTACATATTTATTGTTTTTATCTCATATAGATAAAATGAAACATGCTATATTGTTGTTCTTGTTAGCGTTTTTTCGAATTGTATGTTTATGTATAATAATAATCAATAAATTTGAGAGTTGATCTATGTTTATTAATTATTGTAACAAAACTAAGTGACAAACATTCATACTATTATGAATAATAATAGTTACTATTATTAACGAGTATATTAATATACTATTCGCCGGTCACTAGTAAATCCCGGTCAAAATAGACCGGGAGGGACCGGGAATTACCGATAGCAGTACATCCCTCTATAAATAGATTTATACTGTGTACTGCAAAATGATAAATAAAAAAAATGAAGAGACGGAAAAGGTTATTTCATGCATTGCGAAATTCTCCAGTTCGCTTTTCATTGTACATATCGAGACATTTTTTTTAATCAAGCAACCTCATACCGATCGGAATGATCGGCTTTTATTATGACCGACAGTAAGGCTCGAGAAGTTGCTGTCACCCTTTCACAAAATCTGATTTCATTCCATAAGGGCGCCGCGCTTCGGCGCGGACGCCAATAATTCATATTTTACTTTCATATGTAGTGGTAACCGAAGATAAACTGTACCGTTTCTCTCAAATTCTCTTTTCTCTCTCCTTTATTCTGTTCATAAACAAGTCAAGTCAAGTCAATTTTACCTATAAGTCGGATTCATATAACAATAAAACATTTAAGTATTTTAATACTTTTTTTTAAAATTTTTTGAATGATATATGTGATTATATATTTTTTGAAAGACGATTATTTCAAATGGCTTAAAGTAAATTTTAGAAACAATGCAATCATCAAGAACCACTAAATATACAGATAAAGGGTAAAAATTGAGTCTTGACTGCTCATTAAGTTGAACGGCAATTCCTTAAAGTATTCGTGTTTCAAACAAAAAAACCCCGGAAGGTTAATAACCAAATCGCCCCTGGTTCTTATGATTTAATAAGATTATTTGAAATTGACTTAAGTGTGCAATAAGCACGCCTCGGAAGTCATTTGGTGACATGTCCCTAAGACCTGCGCCATATTTACAAACTTGCGATTTGGATATCTTTGGCATTTTTCCAACTCAATAAATGAACCCAACGAAATGCTATTCAACAAAAAGTAGTAAAAATGCAAGAAAAGACGAATTCATCACTTATTTATCAAGTTTGTCACGGAGTCCAATCATCAGTCTTATTTTGCAGACTGCTATATTATATTATTCAATGCAGGAAAGGTTGCACCTCTTGACAAACATAATCAAGTTAGGGCAGACATTCACTTAACGGAATTATTTCGCTCATACGCTCAAACACAACTTGTGGAAATAAAAGTTCCTTTCTTAGGGAAATTGTTTCCAATTCATTAGAAAGGAAAACAAAATCTTAACCAAAAAAATGTAATCTTTATTTAGGAACTGCTAATCTTTTATGCAAAATTATTTCGTCTAAGGGTATTCCTGGCAC